AGAGGTGCCACGAGGTCAGTCGTTGGACAAAACCCCTTCCCCCACACACTTCTCTTCTCTGCCTGCCACACCAGCGCCTCCTACGTGGCCAGGCCGTGGTGCCGAACTTATGACGTCACCTAGAAGAGAAGAACGCGGGCTGGCAGACTAGATACGAGTGATGAGTCAGCGTTCAGCTTTGACTCGTGGTCAGTCAATCAGGACAGAAGTCCCATCCGAACACTGACGCAGCACTCTTGTTTAATCACTGCCCCGCGTTGGCCTCTTCTAGCTGACGCTGAAAATTCGGCGCTACGGCTTTGCCGTCTAGGATGCGTTGGTCACACACACAAGCTACAGCAGCGGACGCTGCGTCGCACACCGTTCACACACCGCCAGCGGGGGACAGGGGTTCGGGGGAAGCCAAGTCCAGTTGACCGGAACTTAAAAAAGAACAAGGGGAAAATGGAGGAAGTTTATGACAATGCCTTGGATTGTAAATAAATGCGTTTCGGCGCCATGGGGTCACGAACATGAATACTGAACTCTGCTTTTCAATTCAGTGGTGTAGGTTGGATGAACTAAGGGATGAATGGTGGCACAGCACACCACCGTCGTAAGAAATTGCAGCTAACGAAATCCTCCGAGACCCCTGTACCTTCGTTGGTTCCACACAAATTCCTCGTCATACCTGCTTGCTCTTTCTTGGTGTTGACAACGACATATGATCCACAATACACATTGTGTTTTTTCAAAGGGGTGATTTTTGCTGCCGTTGTATTTTTACTTGTGAAGTGTGTGGACTTGCTGTCACGAGTTGGCGGTTTTTATCATGCTCTTGCCGAACTCTGCAAGCGTTTGCACGCAGTAAGGTTCTTTATAGAACGTAATCTGCTGAAGCACGCAAGGCTGAAACTGCATGTGGATCATAATTCCAGTTGTGTGGTTTATTCTAGCAAATACTGCTTTATTTTTATGATCATGGCACATTTCACTTATGTCTCTGACTTGCTAATTTTTAACTTGCGCAATTTTTACCTTATCTTATATTTTATATGATGAATGGTTAAACGAAGATCATGAAAACCTTGCTATTGCAGACATTTTGGAGAATTCTGCAAGGGCTCTGTTTTTGTTATCACAAGAACAAAATAGTTTTTTCTCGTAAAAAAAAATAGATTAATATTATGAATGTTGATGGTTCATAAAAAAATTCCAACAGAGCATAGTATTTGACAAAACTAGATTCAATTGTTCGAAAGTGGCACGCGCACGATTTGGCATAGAAACACAAGTTTCTCTTTCTAAAACTCGAACCAGTAAGTTCATTTCTGATATAGTTGCGGTGTTTATATAGTCTTACATTACTCGTATACTAGCCAGCATAACCCAGTGTGTACTTGAGACCACACTGAAACTGCTTAATGCATGGCCTAGTGTATAGTGTAGCCTTAGATTATAAATATTTCATTAAATTAATAACAGTGTTGTTGGATCTTGCCGATTCTAATGAACGCATACGAGTAGGACCTCAGGGAGAGGAGGTTAATGAGTGGGTAGACGCAAAGCAAGCTGCCTTTGTCTCTTTTCATTGGTCGAATGTGTTCGAACGCGAACGCTGAACGCCGGACGCCGACGTGCGGCATTCGAAAGCGGTCAGACAGTGAGTGGATACGTTTACCCACTAATCATTCCAATGAGAGATCGGCGCTCTGGCGTTTCCGCACGCTCTCATCTCCTCCTCTCCCTCAGTTTCTACCCGTATAGTATGCGGAATGCAGGTTCGTCTGCTTCTTTTGCAGGGGTTGTGATGGCGCCAGAGTGCAGAGCTCTGATTGACTCTGATTATAGGACTGTGGATAGACCTCAAAGCACCTTGCTTTGAGGCCGACCTACTATCCTTCATTCAGAGCTAGTCGGAGATCGACGTTCTGACGTCACCAGAACCCCTGCAAAAGAAGCAGATGAACTCGTGCTCCGCATAATTCCGTTCATAGTTCAAATACTACCCACGCTATTGCACGCATTCATTAGAGAGCCATGTGTATTTATGATAAGTAAAGCGACACACCGAAATCAATTTTTTATGTAGTGTTTTGTGAACACCTGCAAATAACAACGTTGATGCGAATAAGTTGCGTTGTTTAATATTACAGACAACTACGCAGTTTACAGCTTCTTTGCTTTGAGGTGTTTTGAAGTCCCATTGGATTAAGCGAGAGAAGTGGTTACATGCCTACTTGGAGTCATAAAGCGTTTTAATCTCCCGTATCTCGACATCATACTATTAGAATTTTGTTTATTACTGAAGAATTCCTTCGGAAAGAACAGAGTCTTGCAAGTGTCTAATGCAGGAATACTCCTTTATCTATCCCTAGTAATCGAGTGCCAACGCAAATTCTTCAGCATAAATCCGATGTTCAGACTCAAAAAAGATTTCTGAATTACTGAAATTAACTTAAATTGTATCATCATTTGCATATCCGTAATGTAGAAGCAGACATTGTAGGCTGGTTTAATTTTTTTTTAGGATTAGGGGACATTTTATGTTGCAGAAAGTACAGGCTAAATATTAACTTATGTTAATTGCGCATTTTTTATTTGGCCAACACAGCTGCTTCAATAATGTCAGAATTGGCTGCATTGCACAAAAAACTTTCAGCAAAAATAAACAATATACATGTAGCGCATGTAACTTGCATGGCACGCTAACAAACTTATATAAAGGATCTTAGTTGATCTAGGAGCACGTGATATTTTAAACCTGCATTGTTTATTAACAATTTAACATTGAAATTCCCGTTAAGGGATTTGAAATGTTTTGTTTCAGTTAAACCTGACCTTTACAAGTATTGATAGTCAAATGTTAAACGATAGGTGCTCGTTTTTTTGCATTTGGTTCACTCTATGACAGGTTATGTACAGCTTAGAAAAGCCCACTTTAAGCGGTATTTCATCAGGATCTCAATCACATTTTGGTCGAAAACATCAAGGCTGATATTGTTCACACAGCTGTGTTATAAACATAAATGTCTTAAGTAGCTTTAAAATAGTACCTTGGTTAAGACGTCAGGATGCTGTTGAAAGGTTACTTTCTGGAATTAACTTGAGACTGTAATGCTACAATGAAGAGTAAAAAACAAAGACAAAAAAAGTGGAAGCCGTTTACAACTCCCTGTAACGCCGAATTAGAGCGCAGCTCTTGAGGAGGAGTAGGGAAGGGTACTGAAGGGGGGGGGGGGGGTCATGTGACCTTGGGGAGGGGGGTCACGTGACCTCATGAAGGGGGGGTCACGTGACCTGGGGGTGTCACGTGACCTCGGGGGGGGGGGGTCACGTGGCTTGGGGGTCCCCAGATAAATTTTTCCGCTAGATCTAGCGGGGAAATTATTCCGCTAGATTTAGTGGGGATATTTTTCCGCTAGATTAAGCGGGGGAATTTTTCCGCTATATTTAGGGGGGGAAATTTACCCATAATGCACCGCGCGTTTACGCCGACGCCGACGCCGCTCAAGCCGCAAACGGGCGCTTAAGAGCTTCGCTCTAAAACAGGCGAGCAAAAGTATGAAGAGAAAATACTTAAACGACAAGTTAGGGAACATTGAAAATCCTTCGGTTTGTATTTGGCTTGTCTTTTTTCAGCGGTAGTTTAGTATCCAGGCCAATATGAGCGACCACATCTTGTGACATGGTACTCGTAAAGTGGTTGTTAGCGCACCAAAGCTCTAGACGCGTGGAGCGAAAGCTGGCGCTGCACCGATCTTTTGCTCAATCGCCGCCGTTGCCCATTTCGATCTGGATGAGATTCGTACCGGAATGTAGTCGTTTTTCACTACTGCGTGATGCACTTTAAAGAACCCAGGCTAGCAGTCGTACTGTATTGGCTAAATTCCTCATTACAGCGTAGACCAGTCTTGCCGTACCTCAGAGGCAGAGCGACCTTAGCCTGTATAAGCACGAACGTCAGTTAGGTTTCGCTTCGTATTCGCTCACACTTGAGTGAAACACAGTATAGGGAGCTTTCAGTTTGTGGGATACAGTACCACGCCCACAGATCTTCGTCTTGTCACTCAAATTGGCCGCGATAGTATCTCGGTCTCAGGTTGATTACAGATTGTATACTAAAGAGGAGTTTCCAACCTGCAACGTGTTTTTGTGCACTGCTCGATTATGTTTATTGTTACTTTAGGTTTTGTGATTGTGTGTTGTTCTTGGAAGGAGATGTCATTAATTCTCTTATGGGCTGTCTTTCTTGCAGAACGATGTTGAGGCACAAGAGCTTAGGTGGAGACAAGCGTAGATTTATTGTGAAGTGCGCGCGAGTGCTTTCGGTGTTTGCAGTGTTTTAGAACAATATGTTTTATCGCGCTTGTCTTTATCCCATGTAGTGTCCCGCCTGCACTTTCTCTCTGTTGATTGTTGTGTGTGAAGAATTCCTAGAAGCACTGTTTCAGAGTCGTCTCATGACTGATCAGAAAAGGCTATATTATGCAACGTCTCTCGGACATAGTAAAATATTGATTTGACTAAACTCAGGATGATTTATATTGATAAATGAATAATACCTGACAAAAATGTGCAACAGAAAGTACTGGCCATTACTCTCGAGACTTGGAAACGAGTATTATTTTTTCCGATTAATACAGCCGTTTCAATTTAACAATTTGCTCCACAGTCGCTTCAATGTATAGGCAAAGGCCTGAGACAACAATAAATACCACAATAAACGTAGAAAATGTAAAAGAAAGTACTGCATAACTAACCCGCCATTGATTTAACTTGACCCTAAAAAGGATTGTGTCAACTGAAACGAAAATGTTGGGATGACCTTTGCCACGGTGCTTCTTGGTGCTCTCTGCACATGTGGAATGCTTTCATCTGGGAGATTATTCTTGCTTTTTCAGTTATAGGAAACAAATTCCGTCATGCCTGAATATCATTTACGTTGTTGCAAATGCACGTGTGTTTGCGTGGCTTCGAAGCGCTCTTCGCTACAATGTTTTCTTTGTAACTTCTTGCAGGCGCTTTCCTGGTTCCCTTCTTTATCAGCATCATCCTCTGCGGCGTGCCGCTCTTCGTCATGGAAGTCTCGATTGGGCAATACCTCAACACTGGCGGCATTGGAATCTGGAATTTGGTGCCCATGTTTAAAGGTGACGTGATCCTCGTGAGCCGTGACTGATTGGGTCACAGGCATGCGGTTTACCTTTTTTTTTTCCTCTAACGTATACAAGTTATTCTGCTTTCTGTGCTATACGATTTTTGTTTTGTTCTTTACAGTTTAAGTCTGAACGTATCCGAGGCTAGGATCTGATGGAGCCAGTCAAGCAAAGTCAAAAGTACAGGAAGTTTCCGAGAAAAGAGAACCGTGTTTTTCAACTCTGCTAAATAAAATATGTATCGCAGAAGGCTCGAACTTCAGAAGAATGTGACGCTTTAGCTGTTGAGATAGGACGCGAAATTCTGAGAACGCGACGTTACCCGGACCAAAAAGAAAATTGAGAAAGACGAAATTTCTTTGCGAGCCGACGTCACCTAGGCCTAATATCGTCTAAGCAAGAAATGACATTGTGGGCGCCTGGAGCATATCTATTTCAGCAAAAGAAACTTGTCAGCAAGAAAGAGAGTATTCGTTCCTTTCTTGCTGGCAAGTTCTTTTATATTTTTCAAAGAAATAGATACGATGGGTTTGTACACTGTCATTTCACGTTTTGACGAGATTAGGCTTAGGTGGACGTGGGCTCATAGAAACAATTTTGTCTTTCTCAATTGTGTTTTGATTAGTGCAGGTAACGTCATCTTCTCAGGCATTGGCGTTCTATCTGAACCGCCAGCGTCACATTCTCACAGGGTGGCAGCCTTCTGCGATGCATAGTTTATTATACCCGCGGTCCGAAAAACGCGGTGCCCTTTTCTCGGGAACTCCCTGTATGCATCCTCCCGGCGCTTATCGCCTTTGTGCGTTCGATGCCACCGACTACACTGATCATGAAAAGTCAACGCACAGCGATTTTTTCGCCCCCCCCCCCTTTTTTTTCCTTGCTGTTCTTGATTGGTTTAGCGGTAATAGAAAATTTACAACGACAACGAGCCTCGTGACAATGTACTTTTGACGTTGCTTTTTTGGCTCTGACGAATCTCAACGTCGGCGGCGGTCGGTCTTGAAGTGAAATGGAATAAATACCTACTATGTTCCGAAAAGATAGTGTAATAATAGAATTTCATAAAAAAAAAAAAACTTAATTTACTTGCAGAACACGGAGACGGCCAATTGCGATCAACAGTAAAATAATCCCAACGGTTCAAAATACAAAAAAAAAACGATGTGCGCAGTGGGAATTTGCATGACGTTTCGTGTGTTCATTGTCACCGCTGGCATCGCATTTTTCAGATTTTTTTGTTTTCCTAGTTTTTTTTGTTTGTTTTTTTCATTCGCTAGCACTTTTTTTTGTTTGCCTTTGCCGTGATTGGCTGCCTTTGTATTCTACCGGAAAGTGAACGCACGGATGGCCTTTAGAGTAAACTTCTGAAAGTGTTCTTTACGGTATTGTGGACCTAGTCAATATAGGAATACATTAGTACGTAAATAAAATATAACGCAAAAAGGAAAACAAATACAAGCAAACTATTTGGAAAGGTTATTGCTCCGTGATGCTGGCTTTACGAATTCGGCGTCTCCGACAACCTCTTCGATTGCAGGTGTGGGATTTGCCTCGATGACCATGATTGGGCTGAGCAACATCTACTACATCGTGCTCATCGCGTACACGCTCTACTACCTGGTAGCGTCGTTCCACAGCCCGCTGCCGTGGGAGCAGTGTGGCAACGAATGGAACACCGACCGCTGCCTGGGCATCCAGGAGAACCACTCGTCCCTCGTCGCGAGGAACCTGACAGCCGCCCAGGCGGTGTCCTCCGTCAAAGAGTACTGGGAGTAAGTCGAAGCATTTTGAACACTGTATACATGGCGGGGATATACAGGGTATCACAAAAGAAAATTTACAGGGTTTTTTTACCGCAGAAATAAACTAGGCATCGCCGGACGCTCATTCTCCTCCGTAAGGTAGCGCTAGAGGTCAAAACCAGATGCAAAAGTGTCAGCCCGATCCGATAGCTTAATCAAAAGTTATAAGCGACTTTCTGAAAATTTCAATGGGAAAATGGCGGCCGACGGAGTTTTCAAACACATGGGGCTCTATGGGCACCAGAAACCGAAAACGGGCAAAAATGAGCTCCATTTTCCCATTGAAATTTTCAGAAAGTCACTTATAACTTTTGATTAAGTTATCGGGTCGCGCTGAAACTTTGGCATCTGGCTGTGACCTCTAGCTCTACCTTAGGGCGGAGAATGAGCGTTCGGCGATGCCTAATTTATTTTTGCGGTAAAAAAAAAAAAAACTGTAAATTTTCTTTTGTAACACCCTGTGTATAGGGCGTTCACAATGAATGCTGGCGCAGTAAAACGAGTCGGGAAATCTCGGCGTTTGCACATTGAAAGCTAGAACATTCACCGAATCTGCACTTAGGTGGTCGGTTTTACCCGGCGAAATTTCAAGGCACTGCTTTTTTTTTTTTCCTGCCAAAAGATGAGATCAGCAAACTTGCCAGGGTCAACGGCGGACGTGTCTGCAGACGACTGAGTGAGCGATGGTCGTTACGTGTGGCGCCATCTCCCGATATGCGCCGCACGATAGTATGCGCGAAAAAAGGGATCACGTGGTGTAAGCCGACGGTTGACTGATCCGACGAGCAGGTAGCTTCCATAGCCTTAAAGTTATTTTATTGCAAAACACGCATATTTGGTCTAAAAGGGTATTCAATAACATGATGCTCGATGTTTTTGTATACTCGTGCCGTAACACCTTTAAATCAAACGTCAAAAAAAAAAAGAGACACGGTATGTTTTACTTTTGTAGTTTCAGCAAAACATGTCCTGTAATGGTTAGTCCTTCCCTCAAAATTGTTTTCCCTTTAGACAAATGACAAACGCCCATTTTCGACTATCAACCAAAGCAAAATTAGTGTTTTCAAGACTCGAGGGAAGTTTCAACAATGTACCGTTTGTTCACTAAAAACGTTCTTTAGGGACCAGTTGGTGACTATGAAGCGCAAAAGAATGCTTTAAATAGTACTTGACATGTCTACGGCCAGTGTTTGTAGTTTCTTTTTTTCGTTTAGTCGACAAGTTTAACGTTCTGTGGCCTCTAAAGTGGCTCCAACTTTCTCCCTCCCCTCTCTTTCTCTCATATTTTGTTGGTAAGCTCATTTGTTAAGAACTTTGCGTCACATGGCACCGACGAACGCTTATTCCATGAACAATGTTTTTAGAACTATAAAACACTGTAGGTGGAAAACACTTTTGAACCTAAAGCACTATGTAACAGGTGTTTCCTTCGTATAATATGATTGTATGGAGTGATACTATTTTATAATTACCGCATGGGCATTTATGTGTTCCGCACTTATCATTAATAGGTTTCTGTGCCGATTGTGTGGGCTAAGAGAACAAGCAACCTGGGATAATGGCCTACACATTTATGCTGAAATAAGTAGAGGTACAAGCGCTACGACATAACAGGTATAGATTATAACATGTTTTGGAGAGATAACGTCTAGTAATAAAGCTTTTATGAAGCCTTGGGTATATCGCGTGTCATTTAACTGATATCCGTTTTCTGCCCGCCATAGTGTTTTTTTGTGTCCTGCCCTTACGTTATGATGAACTGTATTGTGCTGTAAGATGTGCATCGCGAATTGTGAACAGCTCATTTACAATATAAAAACGTTGCGAGATTTAGATTTTGCAAACTTCTCCCCTGTCATAAAATTCGTGGTTCACATTCATCTGTCGCATCGACCTGAGAAATGTATAGGCTAATGCTCTTTATCTCTGATCGCTTTTCGTCTTTCTTGCCTCTACTCGCTTTGAGCGTTCCAACTTCGAGTGATGTGTCAAGAGTCACCGCCATTGTTCAATAAAGATTCTATTGCCATCGTGCGTTACTGCTGCTTCGACCGCGTTGTAGACACCATGGCCGTGTTCCAAAATTTACTCGATCTTACTCCTGGGTAAGGGTTTTGTACCGTCGGCGTTCTAAAACCTACCCGCGTCCAGCGTTTTTCAATCAGTGCTGTCACGTGATACGATCCGCCGGAGTAACCGGATCCATTTGGGTAAGATTTGAAACACAGCCCCTATCGCGAAGCTGTGGTTCTTATCACACAAAATTAAACTTTATTATTCTTGTATATAAAACACAGCAAGCCCAAGAGGAACATAAAGGTTCTGCTTAGTTATTTGCAAAAATAGTGCCCCACACTATCATCATGTTCCTACACGCACCATAAACACAACAATAATAAAAAAAAAAGCTCGAGGTTTTTGCTTGTTATTGAGCAATTTTTTGTAATCATTAAAATGTATAGCAGCTGCGTAATTCCCGCATTAGATATTTGCATAATTGTAGATTAGAGTAATTTCTCTTTTAACTTGTGAGCCTATTGCACATATAGAAAGACCATATACTGGAGACAAATTGTGACTAAGAATGAGCGGTGATTTTCCCTTTCAGGCGTAACGTCCTAGACATCACGAACGGACTGGAGGAGGTCGGTTCTCTGAGACCTGAGCTCGCACTCTACCTTCTTCTAGCATGGTTCCTCGTATATACTGTAATCTGGAGGGGACTTCATCAAAGTGGGAAGGTAAGCAGAGCAGGAGAACCTAATATGTTCTAAGGAACTATATTGAAAAGTCGTCAATAACTTACTTTATCGTTTTAATTCTGAACAATTGGTAATATTGATAGCTTCCAAGTTCTGGCGTGTCCTATTCCGCAAATCCGTGTTAAAGAGCGGAATCGAAGTAGTATCTTAAACCACAGGCTGCCGATTTGGGATCTTCACCAGGTCACTCGCAAATTTATCATTGATATTAGAATTACGACTTCTAATGAATAAAGCAGAAGTAATAATAAATAAAACATACACCAACAAAATCCCCGTTTAAAGGGGGAACCCTACTCCTCAACGGCCATAGCCGCAATCAACCCCTGAAGAAGAGACCGAGCAGGTCTCGAAACGCAAGGTTCCGCCTTTAAACGAGGATTCGGTTGCTGTACATTTTATTTATTATTATTGTTGCTTCACAACTAGGGAGACTTCTCTCGAATGTTCACTTTCCAATAAAGCAGAAGATATTAATCCAGCGACTCAAGATGACTGCTTATGCCTTGATTGACTCCTCGTCTTATTGTTAGGAAGATGGAAATAGCCACTTCTTTGTGTTGATGATAAATGTTTTACTTGTCTTTTTGAAGTAAACGTTCTTGTGACTGTCGCGGCGCATGAGGAGTTCCTTGGAAATAAATCCTCGAAATGTGTATGTCTTAGTTCTTGCAGCTCTGCCAACACTTTTTGTTTTGGAAATGCTGTGCTGTATTATCTATTTATATAAGACTGTGTAGTTTCTGACTGCTTTTATTGGTAGTTTTTTTTATGCTTGCTGAATTTGAAAGTTAATTGCGAAATAAAGAGGAGGACCCCTTAGTTAACATGAAGATGACGAGGCATGTGGCCGTTCTCTTCTCCCTCGCAGATCATCTGGTGCACGGCCCTGTTCCCGTACCTCATCCTATTTATTCTCTTCATCCGCGGCGTCACCCTGGAGGGTGCTTCGGACGGTCTGCTCTACTACCTCCGTCCGGACTGGACGAAACTCAGGGACCCAAGGGTATGCCAAATTCACCTTCACCTATTCTTCTTCCTAAATCAAAAACAAAAAAAAAAATGAATACACAGCTGATACAGCTCGCTCGTGGAGCCCTTAATGATGGTTTTCTAGGCAAGGGAAGCAATCGCACGCTGCTTAGCTGCTGCGTTTGAATAATTTCTTAGTTTTCGGAAAAGAGCTGAATATCTTGATGGCTTTATTGTAAAAGGCTTTAGAAAAAAAGCCCACTTTAAATATTTTAGAAAAAAAAACAAAACAAATACACCGGAAGTGGTGGTAGAAAAGCGGGTGCTTGCAAATTTCTCATAGGTGACCATTTTGAGATCTCAAGCGAATATTGTGCTAAGACTAGTTCTACTCGTTACTGAATAACAGAGTGCATTATTTCTCAATCAAAAGCGATCATAATGCATGAACACCTATAATCAAACGTATCTTGTCTTCCCGGTACTAAACTAAAGCTAGGTTAGTTTGGCATAAAACTAACCAAACGTTTGAAACACGGGTTTCAAAGGCAAGTATCAAACGATGTTTGAAACCAGAATTTGTTGTACATATTTTTATGATTCACTCTCACCCACGGACGTACCCACGCATACCGGCACACGCGTGCATATGTGAGGCGCACCCTTAAATATCTTCGTGTTTGCTTTCCAGCGGGAGATTCAGGAAGTCAATAACTTCAATTTACAGAAGTATTCAAACGAATTACAAAGCTCGCAATATATGATTAGAGCTGAGAAGTGGAATGTGCGCAGGGACGCATTGTCCCTGCGCACATTCCAATTTAAAATGCAATTTGACCTTTCCGGTCAAATTGCATTTTAAACGTTTTAATTAGACGGTATTTTTTCGCAGTTCGCAGTGATTGGCTGCCTGCGTGTTCTGCGAGAAAGTGAACATGGAGGCTATACTTCCAACATTTTCTCGTTTACTTGCATTCATGAAAGATTGCCTGCCATTAACACTATCAATGGTGATATTTTTTTTATCTTGTGGCTCCCTAATACTCTTGACTTGCTTCGACATACCGACATATTACTCGCTTATGTTGTTTCTTTCAAATAATGAAAATACGGTTTAGCTTAATTTTTTGTACTAGGTACTTAAAAAAAAGTAATTATTCGGCGGAATCTTTGACAACACTACATCCGTCAAAGTCCCAATCATACGCTATCAATGAAGCCTTTTGCGTACTCAGGAAAGTGGTTGTTTACCGAAGTCTTTGGTTCTTTCACATGCTGGTTTGAACAACTTCCGATTTTTATCCAGTTAAAAATACAGTAGTATCAGTGTAATCTTTGGAAATTAGTTTTAGTGCATTGTTAAATACAAATAAGCTCTAGCGTAACTTTCAACATTATGAATTGCAAGAAAAAAAAACAAAAAAAAAACAGTTTGTTGCAATTTGCAGAATGGCACCAACTTAATGCCTTTCACTTCGGATTCGGTAACATTCGCAACATATCATTTACATTTACAGCATATCCTTTACATTTGCAGCTCCTCAGCATGACATAACAATGCTGATTCTTCGTTGCAATATTTTGTATTCGTGCAGTAATTTCGGCGTTTGTTATGGGTGAGCAAAGTGCCGTTTAGACAGAGAAGTTTAATTTATTGACCTTGCTTTCTGCAGGTGTGGATCGCGGCGGGCACGCAGGTGCTTTTTTCCTACGGCATCGGCATTGGTGCCAACGTGGCCCTGGGCAGCTACAACAAGTACAACCACAATTTCTACAGGTGAGTGGCAAACAACTTTGCCCGAGTTGCTCGGTTTGCGAATCAGTCTAAACCTTTTGCACGTCAAGTAACTATAATCACGTGGACACTAGCAGCGACTCTATACAGGATGTTTATGTTTACGCTTTAGAGATTTGTAAAAAAAATGTCGTGAAAGATACTGTAATTCGGTTTATGCAGGCGAGTTATACGGTCAATGGGGGCATAATATGGGGGGCGAATCGTCACGAAAAGTTGAGTAATTAACTGGAATTCGTTAATTGACGTTTGGATTGTGAAAATAGACATATGGTTCCAATTAAAAACTTGCTGAGCGTCATGAAAAAACACTAAGTCAGTAATTTCCTTAAAAAGACCCAGCGCACTCTAGAAGTGAGCTAAAGTTGCCACTCCTGTAACAGGCAAAAAACTGACGGTGAGAAAACGTGGATGATAAAAAGAGACGGAAACCCGCATGGGTGCGTTTTCGCACCGGTAGCCTTGCACCCGCTGCACGAATGGTAACTTCAGCTCAGCACCGTGCTTTCAACGTGATCCACTTTCTAATATTTGTTTATTTAGTGGTTTTCGATGACACTCAGCAAGTTTCAGATTAGAACCATGCGTAAATAGCCGACTGATCGTATCTACGCTATGTCTCCCCCAGCCGTATAACTAACCCGCACAAACTCGTTAAGCTCAAGAATAAACAACCTGCGTATTGGTTCACTGATGGGTGAAACCAGAACACATGGTTTAATATTTCTCGATACGTCTTATGATTTCAGTTGTGTCAGCTCATGATATTTAACGTATTACAAAACAACTAAGCCGCTGTTCTATAAATATTTAGTGCAGGATGTGTTAAACCCACGGGGGAAGTAACAGATCAATTATTTTGCTATCAAAAAAAAAAAGACAATAAAGGAAACTCCCTCAATAGATTTTTTTCTTGTCTCGGCTAACTAAACAGTTTAATGTGCTTTGCCATTTCACAACTTCAATATTACTGAATTATTATTTTCTAGCGAAACTTCTCCCGGCCGCAGTGAATGCATAAAAGTTCTTATTAGAACCATATGTAATTAGCCCCAGAGAGACGGAGAAGATAAATGAAACTCGTGGAGAGATGCCCGATTTGTGTGAAAGGAGGTAAATCCCAGCGGAGCTGTTTCGTTAAACGAGAGTTTGGAAACCCGTTTTTCGAAGAAATGATGCACGCATAAACGGTTTAACTATTGCTAATAAGGAAATATTTGAAAGTGTATCACACGACTACTACGCGCCACACCTGGGCTTCTGTTGGACATCCAGGTGTGGCGCGTAGTAGTCGTGTGATACACTTTCAGATATTTCCTTATTAGCAATAGTTAAACCGTTTATGCGTGCATCATTTCTTCGAAAAACGGGTTTCCAAACTCCGGCCGTTTCTTGAGCTGCCCAAAGAAACAGCATTTTTTTGACTATCCGGACTTTAGTCATCACAATATGATATTAATTTTCTCGATATTAAAAAGAGCAATTGAGAAAACCGTAAATGAAGATGGTGCCGAAACCAAGATTGAAATTTTCGCGCGCTCTCCAGTGGCGTGACGTCACAAACGGTTCATTGTTTCAGGTCGCGCAGGTAGTCTTAAACAGAGAAGGTCGAGTGTTTTTGCGTGCTTCTCAGTGAATTAGCTACCAACCATTCTTTTCCAACCATCAAACGTCGTGCAATCAGTTGGTAACATGGCTTACTGCCCACTTTGTACAGTTTCTGTCGTCGCACGTCAATGCTGCTACTAGGGGCTCCCCGTTTGAGAAACAGGATGAAAACGAAATTCGAAAATTCACTAACTTCGCGAAATGTCTTTCTTTTCGCACAATACTTGGAGAACTGATACAGGCGTGTCTATAAGTGTGTTGAGTCACTTTTGGGGCAATAAGTGCGCACAAAAAAATCTCCGGAACATCCCTTTAAAGGCCCACTAGAATAAGAGACGGCTAAACGCCCTAAAGTACAGCCGTTTTGGCGCACCGCGGTGAAACAGCTTGTGTTATATTTACCACGAAGCGAAACCGCGATGCAAAAATAAAAAACGGCTCTTTTTTTTTTGTTTTAAACAACGGCGGAAGTTAACGTAACAAGTAAATTGAGCCACATTTTTTTAGAGTACTAGTAGTGGGCATTCCGTAAGAAACAAGGATTTGTTCCTACAAATTGTGAAATTAAGTAGGACAGAAAAAGAATGCTACTGTCATGGCGACACACCAAAATACTCACAAAAGATATCACGCGGTCTTGGCACTCTGTCAGAGGCACATGGAATAATATATATAGATATATAAATCTCAAGTTATATTTGTCCACACACTCCTTCATGTCGTCTTCGATTGAGTAACCACATATGCGAGCGTGTCAGAAATAGATCGGTACTACGACATTCCGGTTGTCTTTGAACCGGTTGAAACCGCATTTTTCAGGAGACACTCGAGCGAGCTGTTTCAGTTTGCAACCTAAACGCGTACGAGATGTATCCCACAAAATACTGCCCATTGCACGATCTAATTCAGAGCGATTATTTATTGAACCAATATTAACAAGATAGGGGATAAACAATGCACACCACTAGCACTGCTAATGACAAAATGCTGTATGAGGGGGAGGGGGAAGAGGAGGTCCCTGCAAAATGCAAGATTTCGGGGAGGGAAGGGGGGGCCAGGCCCCATGCCCCCCCCCCCCCCCCCCCTCCCCTGGCTACGTGCCTGGCTCCAGGATGTCCCGTCCGCCCGCTCGCCGACTCTGCTCAGTGGGCTGAAATTAATTCATTAACGCGAAACGTGATTAGGGTAGGTTCCACAAAGAGCGTAACCGCGAATTTCCCGCTAAATTTAGCGAGGAAGTTTTCCCCGCAATTTTCCCGCTAAATCTAGCGGGAAAACTGAATTCGTCTGTAGGCCACGCGACATCGAGCCATGCGATGTCATTTTCCCAGCTACATTTAGCGGGCAATGGGGTGGAGAGGAGTGTATATTCCTGGAGGCAGGACTCGAGAAGGAATGCCTGGAGTTTACTAGCGCTGAACCAACTCTAACCGCTGATTGGTCAATGGGGTGGAGAGGAGTGGGCGGAGTCGTGGAGGCAGAGCTCGAGAAGGAATGCCTGGCGGTTACTAGCGCTGAACCAAGAGCGTTTTGCGTATAGTAACACAATTGCGGGGCAATTGGCGATACATTTCTGGCTACAAATGCGAAGCCTTCAGGGCAGGAGCATATTACGCGTGACATAGATGTTGACCTGCGTTAAGAAAATGAGCATGTTGATTTTGAAAAGTTGCGAGGCGGAAAAAGAACACTTCCTGTATTAACGCTTCGTTCTTCTCATTAAAACGGTTAAAAAATGCAGCTGACATTTCGTTGCACCAAAGCGTGTCTCCGACCAGCCGAAGTATACGCCTTTTTCGTTTTCCCTCGTCTTTAGCTACGTAATTCACAAATTCAAAATGCAAAAAAAAGAGAAAAAACTATTCTTTACAACGTGGAACAAGTAAAAAAATATAGAAAAAGCCAAACAAGAACGATATATAGTCGCGATAAAACGTGAGCTTCTTGAGGGGGTGTGGCCAGAGCAAAACGATGTTTTCCCGCATACCGGAAGTTTCGGGATTCGAGATAGCGTCCCAGGCGTAGAAAATGTCTATACACACCTAAAGTCAACAATTTCAGCTGCGTTTGGAGTTCTGTGTTTGTCCGTTCCTACTCTAGGGTTATCCATGTCAGTGTTAATCGAGCTCGCCTGCACACTTCCTCTAGCCATAAGTGTACACGAAACCAACAGTGTGTAGTAGCAAAAAGGGCAGACAGCGCGCAACAAACACGGACAAAGTAAAATAAGTGCACACGAGACAAGCGCTGACTCTGTGCACTCCTTTTACGTTGTTCCTATTTGTTTCGGCGCGCTGTTTGCCCTTTTGTCATCATGAAACAGCGAACCCACATTGCCACCCTAATTTAGTGTATAGCATTTTAAACGGTAATTGTTTCCCTCGTTGCATAGCGATAACGATTACAGGTCTGCAGTTGGCTAACAAAGACACCGAGAGAAAAATCGGAAAGAACAAAACGACAACAAATGTACATCGACACAATGTAAAGAAAAGAAAAAAGAAAAGGAAAATAGTCACGTGCGGGAGAAGTTTCGCGCTACAAAAATGCTTATAAATATCCGCAGTGGAATTTTTTATTTTTTTGGTACAATTTAGTTGACGACCCGTGTCAGATAAATGGGGTCTCTTCGAGGTTGCCAAAAATCATGACTTTTTTTTAGAAAAAAATAAAATAAATCATATTCATTTGATATAAATTAGATTAATTTAATTTAAGTCATTTGTTTTACGACATTTAAAATTGAAAGATTGATCGATAAATCCATCCAATCACTGATGACAACGGAAATGAAAGAATTATTGTAAATTTTTAGTAAAATTTAGTTAACTACTTTTTATCGATGTAACCCCAGTCATGCTAAAACAATTGACCTGTTTGATATTTTTAGTCATCTTATTTTCGAGCTCTGATTTGCTTTTAATAAAACATTACTTTTTCTAGTTTTTGTTTCTTCCTTTCACGTTCCGATTTACTTGCAATAGGACATTACGTAACTCATGAACGATGTGAGAAATAGAAATAATCCTCAATGATCCGATTTGCTCAGAAGAGCAATGATTTTTGCTCGTGCTCATCCTGATATAAATCTTTCTTGCTTGATGATTTATTTTTATTTCACCACAAAACAAATTCACATATAAAGCATCAAAGGGTAAGTAAACAGTAAATGAAATCTTTTTTTTTTCCAGAAGGAATGCGCGAAATGTTTGATTTAAATCATATTTTTGGTCTCATTTAAATCAAGATTTAAATATTGATTTATATCGTCTTGACTTTTTTTATTCACCCTAACTCTACGCTCAAGTGCAGATCTATAGAATTTATTGCACGAGTCTGACACGTTTGCGTGTTTGCGAATGCTTGCAGGGACTCGATGATCGTGTGTACCATATGTAGCGGGACCAGCCTCTTTGCGGGCCTGGTCATCTTCTCGGTTCTGGGGCACATGGCGCACATTCAGGACAAGGACGTCTCTGAAGTCGCCAGATCAGGTTTGTACTAGTCTTGGGGCAATTTTCGTTCACCTAGAAATAAGCCCCTGCCACGTTGTGCGTTACAAACTTTTTTTGTGTGTGTGCGACACTAAAACATTAATGAGAAGTGTTTCTTTAATTTCACAATTTATATTTGATATAATTCAGTTAACCATTTTGCAAAAGTATAATGGGTGTCTGTAGGTATATATTCTACACAGACTTCTCTGCTACTCTTAAAACATGTGGAACATTTTGTGGAAAATGGCGATCAGCGGTAAACATAATCAATTGTAAATGTTTTGCAATAAAGAACGCTACAAAGCACTTTACTTTTATTTGATTGGTTGATCCTTCTGGATCGCGTATGCTTATAAAAAACAAGATAAAAGCTTCAGCATGACCAGTTTATCGGTTAAAACTAATATTCTTTTATATAGAAAAAACAACGAAATAAGGAACGTTGCACGCACCACAGGCTTGTCTATAAGATTCGGTTCACGTAGCAGTGTTTAGAGGTAAATACACCAAACCAGAGATTCTGTTTACATTGAGGGGTTCGGTGATCGAGCATGGTGATGCACCGTAGCTTGATAACCTACAGGGCGAAAGCTCGCGCTATGTTCTCAGGCATGATGAGTACATATCGGGCTCCTGCCTGTTTAGATGAGTGAACATTGTATACCCTCCTGCATTTGTGTAACAGCTGGACCCCAGATCAGCTGCCATACTGAACCCACCAAACCGCCGCTCCAAAGCAACAACATGAGCCTTTGTTAGGCTACTTTCACGGTGTTTAACTATTAAAAAAAATTATGATACTGAACGAAAGCCTTTAGTATGGAGCCTCATGTAGCCTCTTTTTCAAATGACTTGGGGTGTATATATCATCTCAAAATTCATCGCGGAAAAAAGTTGTGAAGTAATATGACCTTGTATGTGTTCCTGTTGCTGATAGTATGGTATTTGACGTCATGTTAAAAAATGATGATGGTGACCCTGGTGTCTTTACTGGATGACAACGCTACAATCCAGTACTTGGCATCATTTCCAAAAAAAAAGATGATGACGATGGCGATGCTTACCCAGCTGTATGGCGTTGCTGTTGAACATGTCTTTAGGGGTGACTATGTTACGATTGGCTACTTGACTTCATCTCCGCGAAGATGATGACGATGATGACCATGATGCCTGATGTCCCAGGCCCCGGCTTGGCATTCCTGGCCTACCCCGAGATGGTAGTGCAGCTTCCGTTCGCACCCGTCTGGGCGGTCCTGTTTTTCCTGATGCTCATCGTGCTGGGAATCGACAGCCAGTTCTGCACTGTCGAGGCCTTGGTCACGGGTCTGGTGGACGAGTTCGCCTCCACCCTAAGGCCCTACCGGCGACTGTTCACTCTCGGCGTCGTGATCGTCCAGTTCCTGCTGGGTCTACCCCTCGTCACTCAGGTGATTCCCACGGACATCTCGTCCGTGTAACAGCCTCCGGAAATTGCCACTAGGAAATCATTCCCAGTCAAAAGTTGTCAGAGTACCGTTGTTTTAGGGAATCACGATATGCCACTGTAGCAGTTATTGTTGGTGTCAGTCAGTGGCACGCTAAATGAAGGACTCGGTATGTGTATTGAATGGCAATGTAAGAGAATAAATATAACAGAGGCTGTTTTCTGATAGAAATGTGAGAACGAGTGTGAACGAAAGCACTAAACAGAAACCTGACTGCTGAGTTGCAGAAGAGGGTGGAAAATACAATCCTTAAGATATATTGATAAGATAACATTGATTTAGCTTCTTTCATTATAAGGTCTGATGAACAAAGAGGATACGATACCTAGTAGCAGAGAAATTGAACGATCGGAACTAATTATCAGTATTTGCAGCGGGAATATTAGAAACGTAAAAACACTTGTCAAGCTTTTGTTAATATAGATAGTGTAAAAATGTAAATTTATGAACGCATTATTGTTTGAAAAACAACTGGATAAAAAACAAGCTTGATAAAATGGTCTGATCATAAATATGTATAAAAATGCTTCGTTTTTATTTAATATAAAACCCGGATGTATACTGTCGTGCTCAATATCGGCTAGAGATTTTTATCATGTACTATGTAGAGGAATAAAGTAAGTTACCGATGAACATGTGCTGATGACCTCAATTTACAAAGTCAATGCAGAAACGCAAAATTTTGTTTAGAAGCAGTTTTGTTCGAGAGCAGGACAATCACCGGGTCCAGCTGCATTATTAGCATTTTTCATGGTTGTTCTTGAATAATTAGCGCCGAGAGCTCCGCAATTAACACAACTAATGCAGGTCGCCTGGTTGATATCTGAGAGGCTCACGTTTTCATCATCCACGCAGGGAGGAATGTACATCTTCCAGCTGATGGACTTTTTCTCGGCAAGTGGTGTCTCCCTCCTGACGGTCGTCTTCTTCGAGATTGTGGGCTTCGCTTGGATATACGGTAAGAAAAAAAAAGAAAAAAGAAAAAGAAATAAAAATGGTGATGATTTTTATGCATGAAATTTCTATAATCATGCATTATATCCTTATAGTGCATGAAATGCGGAAAGAGGGAAAGGGAAGAAAGGATAAATAAAAGAGGAGAGAAAATTGGTGTGTCGCGTGACGAATATTTTGAAAGAAGGTTGTGGGCGCAGGTGACTTGGTGAGTATTAGGCAACATAATGAAACCTGAGACGCGCAAACAAAAAAAACGTACACAACACAGTCTCAGTGTTGTCTAAGTACTTTTTGCTTCCGTGTCTCCGGTTTTATTATGTTGACGAATATTGCCCTACTAAATTTAGCGTGTAAACCGAGTTGTTGTACATGTCACGTGACGTCAGGCCACATGACGTCGCTATTTCCCTCTAGATTTAACGGGGAAACTGAATTGGTGTATATGTCACGTGACGTCAATTTTCCTATTTGGTGTATAGGTTATGCAATCTCAATTTTCCCGCTAAATTTAGCGGAGAGTGTACGGACAAACGATGGACGGACAAACGTTTGAGTTTAGAGTGTTTCGTTTAAAACATTTCATGCTTTAAAACGCAAGAAATCTGGTGAATGATATAGATGCTTCAGCCAAAGACTGAGAAAGAAAACCAAATGAAAACATACAATCGCACGCACACCGTGTCAATCGAGATAGTGTGTCTTTTTTTTTTTTTTTTCTTTGGTATTCTTCCCCAGTCTGCCATTGAAGGGTGAATAAAGCTATTATTCTTTTTGTAAACTTAGCTAGTAAGTGTGTTGAACGAACTCTAATTCTCTATTGTTGTTATTGTTGTTTTCTCCGCAAGGTGCAAGGAGGATTTACGCCAACATCAAGGACATGATTGGGTTTACACCGAACAAGTACTTCTTCTTTTGCTGGTTATTTGCAGCTCCTTGCATGATTGTGGTGAGTTCGTGGTCAAATGATTCTGTATGAGCGAATACATTATTTTTAATCACATATCACTAAAAAGAATGGCCAAAAATCCATCCTCTAAGATAAAAAATCCGGTGTCAAGATAATCTGATGAACTCAATTTAGTATGACTCAGTAAATATCAGTAATTAAATGTAAAGGGATTGACAGACAATAAGTTTGTATCCATCAAGTAAGAAAGAAATAAAAAAAAAATATGAGCACTATCGAAGTGTTTTGGGTGAGTGAGATTCATCTTATCTAGTTCGACTTCCAAAGGTTACAGAAAGAGGATGATTAATCTAAGTTAGCATTCACTATATACTCAATTGAGGTTTAGTAGCACCAAGATTGTTTCGAATCTTAGATGATTCTTTGTTTTGTTGTTTCTCAGGAAATCATATATAGGCGGAAGGGGTGTTGGCCTCGATTAGGGGGCAAATGGCTATCCGACTAGGGGTTGAGGAAATTACGTCTTTAAACACACAAAATAAGCTGATAATATGGCAGTACAGCGGATATCAACTTAATGCTAATTCGACCAGATTAGTAAAATACCATTGTCTATAGCAGCAAAATATAGTTACTTAAAATCTTGCCCAGCAGAGAGAAGTAAGGAGGGTAAAGCAAACGTACGCTTCTCTTTCAGCCTCATGACTGGCAACATTTCTTAAATATATAAATACTAAGTACACACATACGCACGATTATAATAAATAAGCACTTCGGCTTCTTCTTTGCAGGGCATGTTGGTGTTCTACATCGCTCAGCCTGAGCCGGTCACTTACTCAGACCACTACGTGTACCCCTGGTGGGGGGAGATGGTCGGTTGGGGAATGGCGCTGGCGTCCATCACCTGGATTCCCACCTACGCCATCTACTTCCTCTGGAACAGCTCCGGTTCTCTGCTCGAGGTGAGAGCCCCGATGTGTTGGCCCTTGGTCCACCTTTGCTTGGCAAGGGCGTATCCGAGATGTTGTTTCCAATGGAAAACGTTTTGTGCATTACTTTAAGAGTTCGAAAAAAACCTAGTCTTGTCGTTTCAAAATAATTAAAAACAGAACTTAAAACAGGGAATACGCTTTAAACTTCGATACAAAAAAAATATATTTTTTTCACTGTGCTTGCATAGTGCAGGTGGTTCGTCAAGTGATTTTCAGCTAAAGATTACATCGTGATTTATCTTGAGTAATAATATCCACTGGTCACAACTATTGCTGGTGTGTTATTTTCCACAACTTTAATTTGTCCACAACCAATAATTTTTCCACAACAAATAATTCATAATGGCTCACAGCTTTCATTCCGTGTAGCTTTTGTACAGTGTGTCCCCTTAAACAATATACGTCTTTTTTTACCGCAAAAATGCATTAGGCATCCCCGAACGCTCATTTTCCGCCTAAATATAGTTACAGCGGTCCGACCGACACAGATGCGAAAGTTTCAAGACTACCCGTTATTTTATTCAAAAGTTATGAGCGATATTCTGAAATTTTCACTGCCAATAATGGCGGCCGACGGAGCTCTTGAATGCGGAGCGTAAGGTCGTCTGCTTCTTGAGCAGGAGTTGCGGTGACGTCAGCACGCCGAGCTCTGATTGGCTCCGATCGGAAGGATAGTGGGTAGATCTCAAGACAGCTAGCATTGGGGTCTACCCACTATCCCTCCATCAGAACTTGGTGCTTTGACGACAGGGCAACCCGTGCACTTCGCATACGAGAAGCTGAATGGCTTCATATACCGAAAGAATGACAAAAACAAGCCCAATTTTTCCATTGAAATTTTCAGAATGTAATATATAACTTTTGATTTTGATTACGGTTGGTTCTGAAACTTTGGTATCTGGTTCGAACCGCTAGCATCCCGTTTGGGCGGAAAGTAAACGTTCAGTGATGCACATTTTATGTTTTTCTGTAAAGAAAAAACAAAAAAACAAATCTTCCACACTTTTTATTATTATTTTTTTTTTTTTTAAGGGAAAGGGGGGGGGACTTCCTACAGAAACTTCGCGAAAAAGGGGCCAAGAGAAGTAGTCCACTTTTATTTTCGAGAAATAGTTTTATAATTTGGTGCACACTGTCGCAGATAATATTATTTTTATGTTCCATAGTCATATTCGATATATTCAATTTAATTGTTCTCGTGCACCACTTTGTTTTCTTCGATTAAAAGGTTGAAAGGCGCGAACAAACAGGACAAAAAAAAGACACACGTACGACACGGACAGGCGTTTTTCGTCCTGTTTGTTCGCACCTTTTAACCTTTTAACCGCTATTAGCAAACTAGCCCCAACCAAAGTTTTATTCTTTTCTCATACCATCACAACACACCAACTGTCATGTTATGTATATTATTATATTGACGTTAGAATCCAGACGCCTGCCATTACGTGCACCCTTTTGTAGGCGCGCGGGCCGTTTAGGGTAATCGCAGAAGTTACCTAAAGAAATAAATAAAAATAAATAAAAAGTCTAGTCCTAGCTAGTTTCTTCTACGCAGCTTCATATTACAATGAATTGAATTGCTTAACAATTCTATAGGGTGGCTGAAATGAATCAAGGATCAGCTATAATGTCTTCCCTTATACTATTTTCGGCAACAGCGCATCAAGAAGGGAGTTACGCCTCAGGTGGTTCCCCGCAAGGCCCAGGAGGGCACCCCGACTTCGGACGAAAGCCTGACTCTCGACCCCCCGGCCAACTCAGTCCGGGTCCTGCTCCAAGAAAAGTCCTGATCACTGTTACTCCGGCACCGTCTCTGACACTAAACTGTTGGTCTGTTAACTAGGCGGGAGAAGGGGGGATAGGGCTTCTGCCTGCGGGGCTAAGGAACGGGGTACATCAACAACATCTCAGTTTTTCTCTGCCTGTTGGTTCGGCGAGAAAAAACAAAGCAGAAAGTCCTGTCTTCCGCACTTAAGTTGCCAAAGACCGTTTCCAAGCGAGGAACGTCTAGACGCCGGTTCGTGAGCGGCATACATTTCGGTGGAAGGAATCTCAAGGGTGTAGCACAAGACTGTAGCGTGGCAGGCGAGCAGTCTGATGCACCCCGGCAGATGTCTGCCAACGGGTATGGTTGGACGATGGGTATGAAAGTATGGTTTCTCACTGTTGATGGACGCAGGTGAGGTCTTTTCATCTGGGTTGAATTGTTGTGGCATTTGGCGAGTTGCGCCCCGAATGTGATTCCATTTTCGTGCGCTGTGTTCAGTCTTCCGTTTGGTCCTGGTGACTGTACGTCAGTAGAGAACCTACACCGATTCCCCGCTTGTAAGTTTGTGCCTCCGAATGTAGCTGTTTGCGGACTCCTCGAGCTGGTTGAGTTTCTCTGTGGGGGTTCGTTCTAAATTTCGAAATGCGTTGACAAAACCTATTTCGTAATATGGATTCACCTTTCTTACAGAAAGACGCGCATAATTGAGCGAAGCGTCTAAATTGTTTAAGCGAAATATTTTTTTTCGGGGAAAATTACGTACCACGGAAAGTAAAAAAAAAAGTCCATGAAGATGCAATCTGCTGCGTTGACAATAGCCCACGAGTTGGGTAACAATCCGGTGAAAGGTTCGCATTCCAGTGTCTCCACACGCGCGGTGATGTAGGAAGTTCCGAGCGTCGGGACCTCTTCCCTCCTATTTACAAAACATTGCATCTTCCTAGACAGAGTGAGACGCGAGTAGATTTAAGAAAGTAGTTTTTCTTTATCAGCTCATTTCGTCAGACCTCTAAGCAAAGTGACGTTTTTCTCTCGACGGTGGCACACCAGCAGGTCGCATTTCAATATTACGTACATTTTTGTTTGAATTTTCCAACCGGTGATTCCGCACATAGTGCATTGAAGAAGCTGCATCTAGGAGCATAAGGTAACTTTGAGAGCAATAATATGCCATAAGTTCTTTCTTGATTTTAATTGCACCGCCACCGAATAAGAGCAGAAATTGCTCACCAATATGCTCAGCGAAAAAAGACGTGCAAAACTTGGAAAATGAAAAATTTGGGAAATGCGTGATTCTTTTGTGTATGGGTGTAATCAGGTAGTTCATTATTAGATTTGACTTTTCAATTTGCGTCGGTCATGAGTACAGTGTTCAAAAAGACGGTAGGCTGTTTTACCTGCTGGTGTGGACAAATTGAACGGCTTGTACATAGTTGTAAATATGTCTTTCATGTGAAATGCACGTTTATATAGTAAGTTGAATACAGCTAAACCTGGTGGACTTTAATGACAATTCGAGGTCACCACCAGGGTTATAGTATAATCTTTATCAGGCACAAATTCAGTTTATCCGAATAAATATAAATAAAGCATTCACCGATAGTTAAGCGTTATCCGTTTGTTATCGTGGTGAAGGGGAATTACGCTATAATCTTTAATATTTAGGGAGGATATAAAAAAAAAAGTTGACGAAAGCTTTGTCTAAGAATTACACAAATTTCCTAATGCAATAAAATTAATGGCTACTAAGGTATACTATTTTTGTTGGATTCGGTAGACATTGTTTGCAAACGCACCCGGTCGCATATGTACGCAGCTAGGAGCGTGGATATAATAGGCGATGATTATTTGCAAACTTCGGGTACCTTTAGACGCCGACGTATTGTGTCAGGGAAGCTGACATTTTTATTTTTGTAATAATTCAAATTTTAAACTTTTATTCCTTAACGAAATGCAATTCCACTCAATTAATAAGCGTTACAAACACAGCATTTCGGCCGCATGCCGGCATGGCAATCTAAATTACATTTGCACACTTGTGAAAAAATTCACAAGCTTAATCGAGGTTTCTTATGGGGAGGCAAAAGAAGCATGTAGTATTTTCTTTTCGTTTGTAACATTTGTTTAGCGCCAAGTCTTTTGTTTATTCATATCTCACATTGTACACACGCAATATTGTGTTTAATATGTGAACTATGCTCTGTACATAAGTGTATATACTATGTGTGCATTTATACCTACGGTAGGGACAGTGCCTTCAAATTAGGATCGCGTGGAAATATTTTGGTAAGGGTCGTTGGTAGCTTTATACGTTGTCGACTTGAGGCGTGCGCAGTGCTCATAAATGGATGTGTGCGACGCAGAAGGCCACATTGCACCTGTTAGGCACTGTTAAGTGTATGGCATTTCTAAAAGTGTAAATATACACTGAAAGATATGTGGCATCAATGAAAGATAAATAGGAAAATGTCATTCAAGTGGAACGAATAGAAGAAAGCCAAATACTACCTGCTGACATTTCCACAAATGTGCTCCCAAGAACGAAATGGGTATTTTTTGTATAAATGGCAGGCGGCATAATTTTAAAGATTCTTTTTTTTTGCGATGTATTTAAATGACTATGATACGCAAAGTACAAATTGAATAAGTTACTAAAAAATATTATTGGCGATAAAGAAAGTTTTAAAATTAATTATAGGGAAAATCGTACATCACTAACAAGAAATATTTGTCAATCTGTGATCGAGGAAGTAAACTTTTGTGCTGCTTAAAACTTTAGCCCAGACACTTTTCTAACGTTTAATAGTTTTAGCACCATCTGTTTACCATACGGAAGAATATTTTGGAAGTGGTGCCATATTGTTTGTCTTGTTAAAGTTTATTTCATAGACTACAAGTTGTTGGTGAAAAATACTATAGAAACAGTTCTTGTTGTTGAGCTGGATCACAGGCCAAATGCACAGCCCCCGCGATATATTTTTAATTGTGACGAAAGTAGCGGAACTCGTCGGTTATTTTAACAGCATCTACTTCAAGAAGCCATGCAACAAGTTACGCGAATCATTGTGGTCCGGTCCCGATGCACATCTAGTCCATAAGCTGGTTTTGTCTCTTGTATTCCATATGCAGAAATAAACAAACACATATCCACGCAAGTCCTTGTCTGAGTGTGTTGGTTTCGAATGGGCTGCAGTGTGACAGCACGGATGTCGTGTTTAGAGGAATAGACCCTTTCCGAAATTCAGCATGGCCACTTTGATAACTATCATCACCTGAATGTATGTCATGTGAACATGTTAATGGCGGCCTTGTGGTGATTTATAAAAAAGGAAGTTGAAGGAGGCCCCGGTTTCGAGCCTGAACATTCCAGACGTAAAGCGTGAAACACATGTTGGCGAAAGTCACGACGCGTCGCGCCGCCGAGTGCCGTAACCATAGCAACCACCGTTGACGCTATGACTTGACCTATTGCCGTCCCGTCGCGTCACAGCGCAAGCAACGTTTTCTGTGGTCATGCCGCTCGGGTGACGCAGTTTTTGCTCACATGTGTTTCACGCTTTATTTAGTCCGCCGTCAGATTGACGATACTTAAAACTACTGCACGCTACGCATCTGTGGGTGACATGACTTCTTGGAATGGTCATCGCCTTCAGCACGCCCCAGACAGCTGGTGACAAAAAATGTGGTGACTTTTATCAAACGTTTTACTCACTTCAGCGCCACATAAACCGTTGAATTTTCACGTCAAATGGGAAGGTATTGTAAGTACGCGTAGATTGTACTTAGTGTACTCCGTCATCCCTACCAAAAAAAACGGTTTAAAAATAAACCGGAATGAATCCGGAATTTTAAACCGTCATATGGGCCCCTAAGCAAACCGGATTTCTAGAAACCGTAAATGAACCGGAAATACCCAGTCCGGAAACCCAACCGTAATTGGTCGAAGCGGAAGCTGAACCGTATCTGGCCAATCCGTAGAGATTCACCGGAGTGGGTCTAACCGTATATTAAATCGTATCAGGCAACACCTGAATATAATACAAGTAGTTTAATAGAGTGACACACCTACTGTTTCACCTTCCGATGTACTGCAGCTGATGCTACAAGCCATCCCTTACAAAAATGTCATATCTAGACTTATATTGAAATTACAGATATGGATATATAAGGAATTGGGCAGATATGACCACATCTGCCCAATTCCTTACATACCATATATAGACTGCTTTATATTATCCCGTGTTTGGGCCTGGCAAATAGGGTACCCACCTCATATAAAGCAATTTTCATATGATGCTCCTTCTAGCATCACATTAAAATTATTGCCATGGGGCAGGTACCATACTTTCAGGTCCAGACATGGGATCATATAATGCATTTCTATGAATATCCACAAAATATACATTTTACTGCTATCCCACACTGCCAAACGTGTGTTTACGTAGATACATCGGCAGAATAGGCCACTGACCAATCTTTAGTGGCCTGGTTCGAAATTTGTAATTCCGACAAATATGTATGCTACAAAGATAAAATGCAGGCAATCGCTAGTTAGCAAACATTGTAACATATCATTCGACGTCGGAAAGTCACAGCCCTTTGGTGGGATTGGTTGTCGAGGGAGCAGACAGATATGGTTTGCAAAAAAAGTTTTATACATAAAAGCGCCAAAATTCCAAACAAGCACTTCCGCCGTTCAAGAAAAAATAATAGTAATATCACACGAACAACCATTAAAATAAACTAAAAATGTAATAGCACACAGACTCCTATTAAAATAAAACAAAAGGAAGGCGACAATTAAGCTGTAAACTACACGAAAGTTCCAAAGTCGATGATCCTTACTCACAGGGTAGAGTTCTGATTCAACTCTCCGGTCGAGCACAGCAGTTTTGACATGGGCTTGCTTGCTAGCCTCGTCGTTGAAGTCCTTCCTTGCACCGTGCGATGTTCAGAGTCCCCCAGTCGCTCCTCGCTGGCCTTGTTTTTCCGTTCAGTCCCGAAACCATCCCTTGTGACCAACACGTCGCACACACACACACGCACAGACACCATTGTTCGCCGGAAGCAATACAAGATGAAAAGTTCATTACTGCTCCTTGAACACGACGAGGTCACCACCGTTTCCCGGACTGGAAAATGACAAGGGCATCATATTTTTAACTAAAACTTAATAAAGAAAAAAATTAATAAATAATGAACACATAAGTAACAGAAACCCGAACTAAATCATAAGAAAAAGTGAAACGAACACACAAATAAAAAAAGAGTAAAAACACAAAGGACTTACACAGAAAGCCACATTTGTTCAATTAAAAATGACGTTTAAGCCTGATAAAAAAATATTCCTGCTGCGATAACCATAACCAATATGGTGTGTCAACTATGCGACTTTGAGCAATAATCAAATGTCATTGCGAACTCAAAACGTGTGGCTGCCTGCCTAGGTGCTTCATATTACTATTTTTCTGAATTCTGTGTTTATTATTGTGGCTGCTCGGGACCAGGCGGAACTTGGACAGCTTTGTAACCATAGAGAGAAGCACTAGCTTCTCTACATAATCCCACCCCTTCTCCTTGGAGATACCCTCCGTGTATGCTGTAATTGGAGGAAAAAATAAACAATAACCAGCAGATATACACATTATTAGCTACATTGTTTTGTAATAATTTTTCTAAATAGGCCCCTGCCTAGGACAACACAAGACCTTTTTTTGGGCGATGTAAAGTTTTGACACAAACAACTTGGCCCGCATTTTGCAGAACATACCCTGTAGAACCTTAAAGTGCACCATTACGATTTCGGCATACTTTACATCACCATTGTGCTTCCTATGTGCATGACATTTAAAAGCCAAATCCGCAAAAACTTCACAATAATTGATGCGTATTAAGCAGTGTGCTTTATGTGGGGCCTTTAAGTGCAAAGCATCCAAAGTGCGCGTCCGTCTGCATTTGCACAGCATACAGAAGAGGGGAAAATGCGGGCGGACTGCTGTTTTCACTCCTTGCAGCATATAGCTCAAGGATTCTCTAATTTTGCTTATACAGGGCATTTCACCGCACAGAACGTACAAACACAAGCTTGGAGATCGCACACGCAGTCTCAAAAAACGATTACATCGCGTTTTTTTTTTCACCATAAAACGTTGTGTAATCATAATCATAACATCAATGGGAGTACAAAAGATTGCATTAAAGTTCCCAATTGGGTCTGTTTTATACCGCACAGCCACTGTCTATACACAAGTCAACTAGCTCTACACATACCGCTCAGCACACCACTGCTAGGCTGAATCAGATAAGTGTCACGCTTGCCGAGCTTGAAGTACAGTCGTGATCTATACAAAGGTGAACAAGCAATTGTCGACTGCTCAGTACTGGGAGAATTATCCAGCAGCTGACTTGCTTTCCTTTTCAAATGCCTTGCGAACCAAGTGTGGTAAGTCGTCGGATAAGCAGAGAACGTCACCACACACAGAACTGAGCCGTTGATACTCGCCTGTTTACCTTCATATGGATCAAGTCTCTGTCTGGCCGAAGTAGCCAGTGCGTGTGCAGCACAAGCGGCTGTATTGAAATCTCAAAAGGATGAAAGTTCCGAACAGGCTTGGTAAGGTTTCACATTGCAAGTATGCCCATGCAAATTTCACTTTCTAGAACATAAAAATGCATTTCAAATTGTCACCCAAGACAAGCTGCTTTTACACAGCTGTATATATAAGGCAGCTTACCCATCAACAACTTTTGCACACTGCCATGGACTGAACCTCGGCTTGCAGCTTCTGTTCGGCGAGGGCTGCACTGAGTAGAAAGGTGAAAAATGTGCCGTAGATTATGTGAAACAAACAAAGAAAAGCAATCCTAGCATGCACAATTCGCTAGAGGCACTAACAAATAAAAGTCAGAGGTTGGTCAATTATGTTAACGCAATATACTTCAAACGCGTGCCATGAGTGCTGGCAAAATATTTGCTGCCTTCAATCTAGATAAGCTTGTCAATGTACATGCCAAATAACAAATAACTTAAAAGCTGAAATATATTTCGATGGAACTACAAAAACCGAAGACTAGCTCTGCAAATATGGTGCCGTCTAGTACACCATAGATGTGTAGAATCGGACTACAGCGTCCCCCTTACAAAGACTGAAGCAAAACAAGTATAGAGTCTGCAGTGTCACTACAACAGAAACGATGGTATTATGATCTCGTGGAGATAAAAGTTTGGAACAAGTGTGACAGGCTTTGGCATGACAAATATGCCAATGGCATTATTCATTTTTGTATATTCTACGGTGACAGTGCAGGGAAACAATCGCACAACGGATACTCAGAAAGACAAGCACACGCGCTAAACTTATAGCTCTTGTGTATTCGACTACTCCATTCTTCTCTTCAGCGTCTGGATAGACTTTCCAGAACGTGATAAGCAGAAGAAATAGCGCAAAATACAAGGAAAAAAGCGAAAGACAAGACAAAAGAAGAAAGAAAACCCTTAAACATCATCATTCTCTCTACCGCTATTGTTTAGATAGAAATTGAAGCTCTTTGGTCGACAGTGCTATAGAAGGACTACTTACGCACTTGTCCTTCAGATGCTCTATTCTTTGCGCTTTCATTATTTCTCTTGTCAATTGGTCTCAAATCATATCTATTATGGAACAATTTTCAAAATGTGCTATGCAACCACAATCTTGACAGCAGACCAGGGTGTAAGATAGACAGGTGGGGAAACGACCCACAGAAGCCTACCGCAGCGCCGTGACCGGATTGTGTACTCGTCTGCTTGCGGTTACTCCCCACTTGCGACAGATGGCGCTGCGGCGAGAGGAAAAAAATCGGAATTGGATTTGCATGGAACTCTATGGGGAGAGTGCGCAAAATAAACCGAGAGCACGGCGGTCTTTCATTAAAAATCCACAAGAAATCATCTCCGTCAGTTTAGCCTGTCTCCATCGGTCGCCCACCCGGAGTGAGAGTTCGCGGTGCTCCACATAGATGGCGCCACAGAAAAAGAGAAACCCGAGGGGGACACAATGCGGTCACTCATTTGGCTCTCGTTTCCCCACCTGTCTATCTTACACCCTGCAGCAGACTCCCAAATGCTCAGCGATGACTCGGTGGTTATTTTAAAAATGTTTCCTTAAACGATCAT